TCTCAACAAACACCTTAAAATGAGTTCAGAGTAGCTGAATATCTTCAATATTGACTGTTCTGTGCTGCTGAAGTACATGTCAGGACACTCTGCAACTATTATGCAAATATGAGGCACATACGCAGATATAAAAATATTGTGTTCTTGCATGTAGGTTTTAGGTTCAGTAATAATTTAGGACAGGTTATTATAGTCATGATTTAAAGTTGAAAACAAAAGTTGTAACAAAGATACATTAGTAAGAAAACATGCATAATATTATAGAAGCTGCAGTGATTCCAATGAGAAAAATTATAAAATAACACAAGAACATAGACAGAGGACATATTTATTTAGCTAAAATGTATACTTTTATAGCATTTAAAATTAAATCAATAACTTACACAAACACTCTCATAAAGAATATTCAACACTTTTAAGAGCAAATATTTAATACTGCCAGTGTCTTAGTAATCACACAGATATAATAAAAATAAAAAAAATTTAAAAAAGTGACGTGATATGTGGCCAAGTATGGTGACCCATAGTTGGAATTAGTGCTCTGCATTTAACCCATCCAAAGTGCACACACACAGCAGTGAACACACACACACCGTGAACACACACCCGGAGCAGTGGGCAGCCATTTTTTTTGTCTATTACAAAATTCTGTATGAGGAATCCAGGTAAAGTGCTTGAATATGACTAAATTTTTGCATAACACAAGTAAACATTTCGTTGCTTTCTTACATTTTAGCTTTTCATTTTTTAAACTGTTGCTCTTAACCTAAGACTTGATGTGATCTCTTCTGTTGATGAACACACATTTCAAGTCTGAAAGTGCAAGACCTGCATTACTACATTTCAAAGTGATAATAAATCGGCACATTCCGGTGTTCGGGCAGATGGAATATCGTTGAGCAGCATCTAAACCACGGGGCATGGGGCACTTCACGTCCTCAAAGAAATACCTCATCGCTATGCTCATATAAGCCCCGTGGCCAACCACCAAGGCATGGACGGGCACATTCAAGACTCCATCATCTGGAAGTCCTGCAGGAGCCCTATCGGTCTCATCTGGTATTTCACCATCTTGTATTTTGTCTTGATGGTCATTAGCTATTCGCTGGAACATAGCCTTGAGAAAATCCTTGATTCGCACCTTTACCTGAAAATAAAAAAGACTTTCTATATACTGTAAAAATATGTAAATAAAATTTGCCCGCGCTGTCTTCAAATAGCATTATTAAAATATGCAACGTAGAATTCAGCCAGGAAACACAAATCAATTTTAGTATTGACACAGAACAATACTACAGTACCAACTGTCATGAAATCGAATGCACAAGATAGTGGGATATTTTAGACAGTGAAGGATACATCTATGCTGCCTTCAAAAATCGATCAGATGAAGGCATCTTGGTAGAAAGGATGTGACACGATCATTGAATTTGGACATTGTTGCGTTCCTACCTCCGTATGCGGAGGCAGCATTTTTCAGATTTCAGATGCAGAAAGTGCTGCCAATTAGTTTTTTTCCCATCACAAACCCGTTATACTGACCTTTAATTATTTTTGACAAAAAAAGACAGTGATTTCACCTGCTCCATGGTCTCTCCCTCTGGTGGAGTGAACTCTGGTAAAGGCTGCCCGGCTGCTTTAGCCAGATTTTTCATTTCTATGACTCGACCTCCCTCAGCTATACCAAAACTCTGGAGAAAAGAAATTGGTTTGAGATGCATATGAAACGTTGCTTTGAATGGACAGACTTTGAGCAGACATTTTTCTTATTCTATCAAGCAGTAGTCTGTACTTACTCTCTCTTTAAGTGATGGATCCGCTACTAGTTCTATATCGTGACAGGTTCTGTTGTTCCTCACAATGATTTCTGCAGTCTGTAATTTTACAAAGTCGTGACTATTCCAATAATAAAAGTGTCAACAAATACACTGTGCAAACAAATACACACAAGAAAATTAATATTTGTTACAAGAAGGGCATGTGCAACCTTACATCTTTAGCAATAGTTACATATTGCAACTGAACAGAAATTGTCTGATGCAAAACTTATGATGAGTATTATTGGTAATTTCTTTATCACATTAAATATACTTATTAATACTCAAAAGTACTCGCTTTAATGCTTACTGAATCTTATCCAAGGAAACATGCATTTCTTGCTCATTTGACCTGAATTTGATTTTGGTTATTTTGTCAAATTTGTGGGGAAACATCTCCCTCTACCTGTGACCAGCTTGTATGTTTCTACTAGACTTCTGCTAGTATGTTTCTGCTTACCTGCTTGGCACGTTTCATGTTACTGACAAACACATTTGTGAATTTTACATCCCTGAGGTAGATGTGACACGATCACTGAATCTGGACGTACTTTGTTGCATTGCAGCATTTTTCATAATTGGATGCAGCAAGTGTTGCCATTTAGTTTCTTTCATCACAAAAAAAGTGATTTTACCTGCTCCATGGTCTCTCCCTCAGGTGGAGTGAACTCTGGTAAAGGTTGTCCGGCTGCTTTAGCCATATTTTTCATTTCTATGACTCGACCTCCCTCAGCTATACCAAAACTCTGGAGAAAAGAAATTGGTTTGAGATGCATATGAAACGTTGCTTTGAATGGACAGACTTTGAGCAGACATTTTTCTTATTCTATCAAGCAGTAGTCTGTACTTACTCTCTCTTTAAGTGATGGATCCGCTACTAGTTCTATATCGTGACAGGTTCTGTTGTTCCTCACAATGATTTCTGCAGTCTGTAATTTTACAAAGTCGTGACTATTCCAATAATAAAAGTGTCAACAAATACACTGTGCAAACAAATACACACAAGAAAATTAATATTTGTTACAAGAAGGGCATGTGCAACCTTACATCTTTAGCAATAGTTACATATTGCAACTGAACAGAAATTGTCTGATGCAAAACTTATGATGAGTATTATTGGTAATTTCTTTATCACATTAAATATACTTATTAATACTCAAAAGTACTCGCTTTAATGCTTACTGAATCTTATCCAAGGAAACATGCATTTCTTGCTCATTTGACCTGAATTTGATTTTGGTTATTTTGTCAAATTTGTGGGGAAACATCTCCCTCTACCTGTGACCAGCTTGTATGTTTCTACTAGACTTCTGCTAGTATGTTTCTGCTTACCTGCTTGGCACGTTTCATGTTACTGACAAACACATTTGTGAATTTTACATCCCTGAGGTACTGACCAGCAGCCTCAGACTGCCGTATCCCAATTTCAGAAAGCGGGGAGTCTATTTTCTGACCTAAAAGCAAAGAAATTATAGATATAGTTTGTGGTCAGGAGAGCATTTGCTGAGATACAGTAAATAGGCCAATAATTAATGTGTATAACTAATAGGTTAATGAAAGAACGGAAGGGATACTGATAGTTAGTTAGGGATAACAGATAATGTGTTTCTCCCTAAAAAATTACCTTGTAAAAGGCCATCTTTGTTGCACTGCGTCTCACCACTGGTAAACGAAAACAGCAAGAGTGATCAATAAAAGCTACATTAACCAGCTCACATTAAGTTAAACAGTTTGGGTTTTCCTAACTTAATGGATTTATGGTAGTAGGCTGTAAAAAATAAATAAATAAATAAACAAAGGATTATTCATAATGTCTTGCAATGAAGACAGCAGACTTTGCCTATGTCTATCTAACATGGGCAGTAAAGAACTTATTTTTCGTTTTGTTTAAGCGAGTAGACCAGGTTACATCAAGTTTTGCCTCTGACCTTTCACTGGAAGAGGGATTCGTACTGACCTTTAAGCATAAGCTACAACAGACAGGAGTAATATGATATGAGGAGCCAAGTAAACTTTAAAGTAAATTCCCACTCTACTAAATGTCAGACAACCCTCATGTATTTTTTACCGATCTACAGTAGCCTATAATGCCATGATGAGCCAATAGTGATTTATTTATAACTGCTTTAGCAAAGTATCATTAAAACTATTCTCTCGGATCACTTTTATTTACCATTACTGAATCAATAATGCAGTGATTATCAGTTGGCAATGTAGAATAGCAATGAATAAAAAAAATCGCATTCATTAAGTAAACAAAACAAATGAGGCAACTTACTGTCGGACTATCGTTAAACCAAAAGCGAGCATTGGTGCAGCTATTAAGATGCAGTTCACGGTGTCTTGAGGTTATAAGATGTTCATCCACTGAGCCCGGAGTCATTCACAAGATGTCACGCCCCTTGTGTTTTCAAATAGGCGCCTATATGTGCTTCTTTGGTGTGACAGCACGGACAGCGCTTATCCCCGTAGCCTACTTGATTAGACGGAAGTTAGTACGCACGGCTGGTAGGTCCGATTCAATTTCCCAAATCGGTTCTTTTGAACGGCTCAAAGAGCAATTCTTTTTATGTCAAAAACCTATTTACATCACTACGCGGTCCCATTAAGCTCTACATACCAATAAAGCTATATGTAAGCATTTTTTGTTTTTGTTTTGTTTATAAGGGTGCTATATGCAATTTATTTTATCCCAGTTTAACTTGTGGTAGCCGAAACAATAATAAAACGCATTTATATTTTCTGGTTGAAATAGTTCTATTTTTACATAAAATACTATTTGTTAAAACCATCTCTGTTTAGTAAGTTTACTGATAAAGCTGTCATGTCACATATTTCCAGTGTCTTTAACAATCTGCATCCGGTTCGTGAACAGATTGTTCAGACCGGTTGTGCGCACGGTTGTGGCTAGAAGGGATACAGCAAAAACCGGAAGAAAACAGTTAATTAAATTTTATACCTATTAGTTTGTTTTATTAACGTCTACACCTACCCCAACCCTAAACCTACCCCTTAATAATGCAAAAATAGTAATTATTGTTGTACAGTGTGACAAAAATGACGCTATATTGATGTGCGCATGCCCAGTAGTTTTTACATGCCATCTAGCCTTAACCCGCACCGCACCAGCCCAACCGATTCCTTGAAAAGATCCGACTCAAAGGTACAATTCGTTCACGAATCAGTCATATCATAGCTCACGCTGACTTAGAGGTTTGCGGTCACTCACTGGCGCCAGTGGCGCGTGGCGGGCTTTGAAATTGCACGAGGTCTGTTAGAGTCTGTCATGTAACGGTTTTATTTTTGGCATTACATTAACTCGACAAATAGGTATTTTATTTTAAATGTTATATTTTTAATCGCTCACCAACTATTCCTCAGTTATAAAACATTATAAGACGTCGAACTACAAATTTTCATCATTGACCTACTGAAATAAAGAGAACAGGAGACTGAATACTTCTTTAATGGTACGTTTATTGACCTTAGCATACAGCATGTCCTCTCTTTTAACTTCATGCTCTCTCGATGACAAATTATTTGAGTTCAACAGAAATCCAAAGAATATCCACAGAGTTGCCAAGCCCTAATGACTTTACCTCATAATTCATCTCCTCAAAATCAGCTGTGACAATTTCTGACTTAGTTGTAATTATTCAGAGGATAATTCTGGAAGGAAACATTGTTGAACAGAAAAGTTAAACCTCTGCTTTAATTTTGAAATGTGTCATTTTCCATCTGGCCTGTGTCTGATAATAAGCACTATCTTTACAGTCATTCTTTACCAGGTTATAACATGCCGGATAGATTCTCATTGTTATTTTCAGCGTTAACTTTGCCAATAAAAGGGAACAATAACATAAGACCAACATAGCACCACACTCTTTAAAGCAGATTTATTGAACAGAGGTTGTGCAACAGACGTAACTGAGGTACATGATATGGTTATAGTGGAGGAAGGAGGGCTTTTCTCAATGTTGTTGCTTATTTGATATTTACAGGTTTATATCCACTGATAAGGGCTGTGTACATAAGACATTGTCAAGCGTTCATCACCTCCTCCGTCCACTATTTCTGAAGTCCAGGTAGGAGCCTTGCTATTCATCTAAATTCAATTCCGCTGAATTTACTAAATCAAACAGCAGAAATATCATAACCTCTTATTTGTGCGGTCCTTTCCAGGTTCCCGAAAAAACAGTTGTGACTGAGTTGTGTGAGGTAATGGGAAAGTCTTTTATGTCCAGTAAACCTGAGGTATAGAGATACCACACTTACAGAATGTGACAGAGAAAGAAGAGGAGAAAAAAAGAGATTAAAAGGTAAAGAAACATGCCTTAATAAGAGCACACTGTACAAAGAGCATTTCCAGTCGAATACTCATTTCATGTTCTTCTTTTACCCTCTACTTCTGTATTCTCAAAGTATTCTGTAAGCAGTAAAATAATTATAATACAATTGTTTATAAAATAGCAGCACACTGATGTGACATCACAACTATGTAATGTTATTTTTGTGTATAAGATGAAACAAAAAAAAATCATAGCTTTTTAGCAGCGGAAAAAAACAATAACTCAATAACAATATTGACACTTGATTGACGTCTTCACACTATTTCCATCTCTCATCACTTTGGAATACAGTATCATACCCCTTAAGGAACGTAACTTCGGTTCATATTCAAACTCATACCACTTAGCCACCCATACAATCTGTTAACAGTACTGTAATTCATTTTCAGAGCAGAGCTGGGAAAATAATAGGACCGACTAACTTGATACAATAAGATTGACGGGGTTTTGGTGTGAGGATGGAGGAAATGTGGCTTGTGTGACTCAAGCATCACTAAGAACTGTTTCTGGAGAAAGAAAATGCATGAGTACACAAAAACATCTCCTTAACCCACAGAAAGACATGCACACAAGCACACATGCATACATAGATGGACACAAACCTAAACTCGACTGCCCCTTTTCAAGGTAAGCTATGAGAATTCAGCATATGAAAGCCGTTTTGTGCTGCTGATGCACCCTGTTTTTAGCCACTGTGAATGACTTGTGAATGATTTCAAACCCCATGCCAGTTCAACGTTTGGAAGCAGCATATTTAGGATGGCTGGGTAGTGGATATTATGCTTAAGCTCAGCAAAACAGGGTGAAAGTCTACATCAGACTCAAGGCACTATATAAATTTTTTTGCTGCAATGTTGCAGTTGCACAAGTCGTTTCAAATTGAAAACTGCCCTTGGAGCGTGCAAATCAACAAAGATTTTTTCTTCTATTTCAATGTTTTCTGTCATCTTGTTTGTTTTTTGGTCTTTTTTATTTATTAATTTTTAAAAAATTTTTTAATTTGCATTAATATTATTATTTAGTTGCTGCTGTTGTCATACATTGGTTTCCAATGCTTTAACGCTATAATGAACTGAACATGCCATGATCTAAACATGGGAAACCAGCCCAAAAAAGAAAAGGAGAGAGAAAAAAATAAAATGGAAAACTAATATGCTCTCTGAACTGAAACCGATGAAGTAACCTTCCCCAGTTATGCGCTAGCGGTATCAATGAAACTGGTTTAGATACTGGTCTGTAATTCAAACATGAGACATAAAAACTAAAGGACAAACAAATAAACAGACAAATAGATTAAAGATCTTAAATATCAGGTGATGTATGGAAACCATAGCTGTAGTTTCTCCTTTGGCCTCCTTTCCTGCTTCTCCATATCTCCATATCAGCATATAACAAATCACCAAATCACATATCAGCATCCTCATCTCAGCAGCATGCTTCAAACCTCAAACCAACCAAGCTTCATCGTCATCGTCCTCGATCATTCTTGCCTACACATTCCTTTACTGCTAACAGAATTAGCACACATTTGCTTGCAAACAACTCCACAACTCATTTTTCGGTCCCTGATGGGACCAACCATATATCAGCCTAAGGCTCCTTCAACACACTCACAACAAAATACGTAATAACGTAATAAACTGTCTGTATACAATACAACTGTAATATTTAGTGGGAGACTGCCATGAAAGACAACCTTACCCACATATTTTAAAAACAACTCTTCTTGCCTTTAGAAGATACAAGGGAACATAGTCGTCTCTGTCCGCTCCCTGTTCTTGCCTCCTCTTGTTCTGTGCACTGGGTTGGGCTCAGCCCTCAAGCAGTTTCCAGGCCAGTAAAAAAAAAAAAGCATTTAATATAAGGCACTGATACAGGAGGCCATCGAAGCATTGTGGAATCATGTACTATCCCCTGTCCAGTCCTTTGACCATGTGCCCACCACTGAACCAGTCTCTATGACCAAACACTTGCAGATAGATGATTAAACAAAGCCCACATGACTCACACAAGAGTGCTTGATATAGAGTAACTTGTACACGCTTGCACATGAGCCAACATACACCACACATAAATGCATGCACACAAGCAGCTTCAGAAAAGCTTATTTGAAGTGTCTGTAACTTTAGCATCGAGAGCCAATAACTTGCTTGTTTAACAGGAATAATAATAATACTCATAATAAAATAATATTAATAGTCTATTCTCGTGATATAAGCCCCTGTTGCCCATGCAAAAGAGCCCTGCGTTCTTAACATAAGACTTGTGTCTCACCACTTTTTTAATCCCCCTTTCTGGTCCTAATGCACTTAGTACACAGCCAAGTGAATGGGTGCGTCCATTCATACTCATGGCACCTCATTGTGTGTTCAAGTTCAGGCATTCCAAAATGAACCCAAAAAAATAAAAATCACAACAAAACAGGAAAAAAACATAGCCCCACTTTTTGTACCCTTTCAAGCCAGTCTGATACAGTAGACTCTCTATTTTGAAAAGCCCTTTACACTATCACTTTTGCATTAAATATCATATTATGTTTACACAATCAAAAGAGTTTGCAAAATACTACATGCTTCCCTTCTAAGAGTCTAAGGCACCGTAGAGCTTTTTGCATCAGTATCAAATCATTTTAAAAATATCTAATTTTTGTATCTAAAATAGCTTAGATTTTTTTCTTTTTTTTCCATTTATGGGAGCAATTTTTACTGGAAAATGAAGATAAAACTCTACAAAGACTAGCAAGCACTTTTCGTTGGGGTTGTTTGTTTTTTTGTCGTTTTTGTTTTTTGTTGTTGCTTTTTTTCCTCTTGAAGACTGATCACAGCGTTCCTGCAGCAAGCTCACAAGTTGATGTCTTGTACATCGGTTGGGGTGCTGGACTGGTCTTGGTCATCAAGTGCTTTGCTGCGGGTGCCACCCTGTTCCTGCTGTTTCTGCTGTTGCCGGCGACCCTCCCTCAGGTTATTCATCAACACTCTCTCAATCTGCTCCTGGCATTCCTTTAACACATCCTGCAATGCATCAGACACAAGGTGTTATACAAACAGGCCACTTACATAGCTGCAATGTCTGTACTTATCCAGAATCACTTCATCAGTAGTTTTACAGTCAAACCACAAAAATTATATATAATAATAATAATTATACACAATTATTATATATAATAATTAATTACACATACACACACATATATAGTGGGTACGGAAAGTATTCAGACCCCCTTAAATTTTTCACTCTTTGTTATATTGCAGCCATTTGCTAAAATCATTTAAGTTAATTTTTTTTTC